ACATTTTCTCCTAAGTGAAAGACCAATTGCTGCATCTCCGCTCCCTTGCTAGAGAGAAGGAAGCACAGAGTCTGTTAGGAATCTTTGGGCTCTTGAGGAAACACATTCTACACCTAAGAATACTACTGTTGCCCACGTACTGTGTGACACGGAAGGCTGCCAGCTTTGAGTGGGGCTCAGAGAAGGAAAGAGCTCTCCAGCAGGTCCAGGCTGTGATTCCAGCAGCCCTTCTGCTTGGACATTACAATCAGGCAGAGCCTAGAGCAGTCATGGCGAACCTATGACACGCGTGTCAGAGGTGACACGTGAACTCATTCTTTTGGTTGATTTTTCTTTGTTAAATGGCATTTAAATATATAAAATAAATATCAAAAATATAAGTCTTTGTTTTACTATGGTTGCAAATATCAAAAAAATTTCTATATGTGACACGGCACCAGAGTTAAGTTAGGGTTTTTCAAAATGCTGACAGGCCGAGCTCAAAAGGTTCGCCATCACTGGCCTAGAGTATTGGAGGTGTCAGATGGGAAATGATGTAGTTCGACATTCATGGCAAGTTCCAGCAGGAGAATCACAATGCCATCCCCTGGGATTACTGAACGAGGTTATGCCAACTGCAGTGAAGAATTACACTCCTTTCGAAACACAGCTCCTAGCTTGCTGCTGGGCACTGGGAGAGATAATGATTGACCGTGGGTTCAGAACTGGCCATCACAAGCTAGGCCCTACTGGGCACATGAAGTCATAAAGCCAGGGAGGTCCAGCATCAAAGCCATCAGAAGAGGAAACTGGTACATCAGGACTCATGAGCTGAATAAGTAGCCCAGATCTCCATGTCACTCATTACAGTTGCACTGGCACCCCTCCTCCAACTTATATCCTATGGATGTAGGAGGGGGTCCCACAGAAACACCTAAACAAGGACAGAAAGACCAAACTCAAGTTGTAGATAGGTCATCTCACTATGTGGGCACACGCTAAAAATGGATGGTGGCTATATTACAGTCTCACTTCTGCAGGGAAAGGCATGGGAAACATTGGGGAGGGAAAATCTCCCCGGGGGGGGGGGTGCTTTGGGAAGTGCACCTGGTCATCCACTTTGTATAGATGGAGAATAGCCCAAAGTTAGAACATTTGTGGGCCTATGGTCAGTGACGAGTGGCCTGACTGTGGATGGGGGTCCTGAAAGAAAAAGATTATAAAACCAGAGACAAGGAGGTCTGGAATGGAGGACTACAGGAGTGGACACAAAGTGGGAAGTTGTTTGTATCGCATGTCAAGGCCTGTAGTAAGTATCTCTTACAAAAGATGTGGCAGCTTTGACAAAATGATTTGGCCCGTTAATACAGCTAGTCTTTGCCAGAGCCCCCTCTCCCCCAACTGCTGCATGATGGGACTTAAACAGAGAGGACATGGTGGCAGAGATGGAGATGATGCAAAAACCTAACAGCATGGACTGTCATTGACGCAAATGAATATAGCTATGGCCACCTCTGAATGGCCAACCTGCTAGTGATAAAGACCCGTGCTAAACTTTTATATTCCTTAAGGAGGCCAATAGGCTACTTGGTGACCATTGACCATATTGGGCCCTTTTTTCCCTGGTAGGGCCAGCAGTTTACTCTCATAGGAATAGACGCTGATTCCAGATACGGGGTTGCCTTTCATGCCTGCGTGGCCTCGATAGCACCACTCTCTGGGGGCTTGAAGATCACCTGGTCCACAAGCAAGAAATCCCATATAACATGGCATCTGACCAGAGGACTTTCTCTATGGCACAGAATGTAGGAGAGTGGGCTCAGGAACTTGGGATCTACTGTTCCTATCACACACCTCACCACCCAGAAGCTATTGGATAGGTAAGTATTGGAATGGCCAGTTAAAGTTGCAGCTGAAGCTCCAGCATGGAGGTAATACAGTGCAATGATGACATTCCTCCAGGCCATCATAATATATGCCTTTAATCAGACAACTTAATATGGTGCTGTGTCCCCAACAGAAGAAGCACATGGGTCTGGAAACAAGGGGTGGAAGCATGAATGGCCCCAGCTAGCATCATTCCAGGGATCCAGTGGGCTTCCCTATCACCACAATTCTGGGCTTTGAGGAGTTAGAGGTTTTGATCCCCAAAAGGAGTACATTCTTGCCTGGGGTAAGAACAAAGATTCAATTGGGTTATACATTATGGCTGCAACCACGCACTTTGGCCTCCTAATGTTCAGAGACTAACAGGTAAGACAAAGAATTGCCACCTTATCAGATATAATTGACCTGGAGGATGTAGGGCCACTATTAGTGGGGACAGTGTGAGCTCCAGTGACCTATTTGGGTGTCAGTTGATACTCTTCTGCCCAACTGTGACTATGAATAGACAAGAGCAGCAACCCTAGTCTGAGAAGGTGCTTAGACCACTTAGAAATGAGGATTTGGGGGGGCTAATTTTGGGGGCCAGGTAAGCTACTGAGAGCTGCTGAGGTGATAGCTGAGGGTGAGGGGAATCGAACAGATAGTGGTGGAGGTATATCATGAGGCCCTGTCATGGCCTTGCAACCAATTTCTCTGACAGGGGCTATAGGAAATTCCATTAGCTTTCCTCTGGTAAGTTTCCCTTTAGGAAGAGCTGCCCATCAGAGCCAGAGAGATATTCCCTGAATACAGATGGAGAAATAGATACTGGTGGTGCAAAGGTGGACTATAGCAGGCACAATATGTCACTCAGATCCCCCTTAAGCTAGGAATTGTTGCCCAAATCAAGGAGTGTGTTTTAGGTGACAGCCTCCAGCTTAAGCTCCTTCAAGATCTGCTTCAGTGTCTGGACTAGAGTCACGTATTTCTCCAGTGACTCCTCCCCCATGACCAAGCAAGGCAGTGGCCCAAGGTTGGGCTCCTGCTCCCAGCCAGGCTGGAGGACTTATGAGGTTTGCAAGCCAGTCTGACAGCTCTCACAAACCAATCCAGGGTCTTCCCTTAACTTTTCCTGGTGTTACACTCCTAACTCCGTATCTGTCTGCTTCCTGGAGAACACAACCTGTGACAGCACACATTTCAAAATTTCCCCAAACGGCTGCCTTTCCCCTTCCCACCATCCTTAAATCATTTTTCATGGCTTTAAATTGAGGGGGATTTTATATCTTTATTCCCAACCTCTCTAGCCTTTCTCAAGTGTCTTATATACTAATTACAGCATTTAACCTGATAATAAACAAAATTCAACCAAGTAAAATTGAATATCTAATTGGCTCTATTAAGCAATTCATGAATCTGGCAGGATCCTATCTACCAACCAGAAGGGCCTCCAAGGGGTTATTTACAAGATGGAAGGTTTTTTTATAGGCAGAAGAGTGTGGCAGGTGAGTTATTAGCAGGTGAAATTATTACTTTCAGGCCAAGACATCACCATTTTGCGGGGGAGGAAAGGGCAAGGGTTTTTATCAAGGAGACTGCCTCTTCTTCCTGGGCGTTGCGGGAAGGCCTGTGGGGCGCCAGCACAGCCAAGGGTGATCATGAGTGGGAGGGTGAAAGGATTGAGAAAAGACAGACAAGAGAATGAAAGCTGGGTCTCGGTGGGACGCTGCTCCCTGATGAGGAGACAGCGCCAGCGCCCACAAGCCGTGTCTTTATTTTATAGCAGATGCCACGAGGCAAAGTAGGGGCGTGATCAAGTTGTTTACAGCATCCTCGCGAGTTTCAACCTCACTTAACTACATGCACCCGAACTCTATCACAAGGCAGGTGGGGCTACGTGTTCAGACCATAGCTTCAAGCTTACAACGACAGCCCTTGGCTATGATTGTGCTGGGAGGGCCCTGCCCTCCAGCTGGGACTTGCACGTGGCAATGAGAGGACCCTGTCCTTTCTTTAGTCCGAAGCTTGAACCTGGCCAAAACACTGTACCTGCGCCCCACAAAGGCCCACATAACAGACTTTTCCAAATTCTAGACTGGTCAATTAAGATTCTATTCCTTGCCGAAACCGGTTTGGCTCAGTGGATAGAGCTTCCGCCTGCGGACTGAAAGGTCCCAGGTTTGATTCCGGTCAAGGGCATGTACCTGGGTTGCGGGCACATCCCCAGTAGGAGATGTGCAGGAGGCAGCTGATCGATGTTTCTCTCTCATCGATGTTTCTAACTCTCTATCTCTCTCCCTTCCTCTCTGTAAAAACTCAATAAAATATACATAAAAAAAAATTTAAAAGAAAAAAAAAGATTCTATTCCTGGGAGATGGTGAAACTGCAATTAACACATTGTATGCGGGAAACGTGTTTACACGTTTTACATATTTATACGTTCTACCAGTGTAGTAGAGCGCAGGACACGTATTAATACGTTGTTTATAGACTAGCGGTAGAATGCGGGTAACATATAAATACGTAAACTAAAGTTATCGTAATTTTACTGAACGTTGCCATTTGCGCAAAAAATTAGCAAAAATGGCCCGCGCCACCTGTTAGCGCGCGATAAAAACTACCCGCAAACAATGTGTTAAAACACAGGCGTGTTTTTTTCATGTCTTCCCAAACACAAGCTCCTTCAGAGCAGGGACTATTTCTTAAACTTCCCGAGTGACTAATGTAAGGCTACCTACATACAATATACTGTGTTGAATTGAATTGGTTAAAAGCCCTTTCCTGGGAACCTGTCAGACCACAGTTAAGGCCAAGTGGATCAAAGGCAACTATAGAATAGCCAGAGGGAACAAAAAGTCAAATGATCCTGGGTGGGCCCCATGTTTGGCTGGTGTTCATACCAAAGTCCTCTATCCCTGAGAGAGACAGTTCATCTACTACAAATTCCTAAACTGAGGGGAATTCACATTGATCATTTTGTAGAATTTCCAATTTGACGACTGAATCCTATCATCCTAACAAAAGGTTTATTTCTGATCTGATCCACGACCCATTTATTTCACTTGGAGTGTTGCGGGGGTGGGCACACACACTTTTCTCCTCTCCCAACTTGGGCCCAGTGCTTGGGGGCCTGCAGATGAACTGACAATAGGTGAACAGGAGGAAAGACAAGATTTATTTACACATGGGTAGGGGTAGGAGCGCTCAGTGATTGAAAAGTCCTGGAGTAGCCAGAAGATTAAGTCTCTCAATTTAACAAAAGGGGGGAGGGGAGATTAGGGCTTCAATGGGAGAGCATAGCAGGTTCTACTGGGCTTTTTGATGCGAATAGAACGGGCAGTCTGTCTCCGCCAGGCAACTAAATTAGCAGTCAACTCCTTTCCAAGGGTTAATGGTAGCTGTATTTTCAGGAGCCTCTGCTTTAGTCAGATCGAGAGAATTCCAGATACAATTTCGTATGCATCTTTTGTAGGTCAAATGTTTCCAATAATCTTTATATCAACTCTGGAGGTCCAAGTGCGTCCCCACACGGGAAAAGGTCTTGTCCCAAAGCCTAAAGAGAGAAACCTTTCTTAGATCCCGGGAATGCGTCTAAACAGGCCCCTGTGACAGCGATTCCAGGCAGGCCAAGGAAGGTCAGAAAGAGATCCTTTCAAAAGCTCAGAGATGGCAAAGGAGAGGCAGAGGCATCGTCGCCGTTTTTCTAGGAGCGCGTGGTGGTGGGGGAGAAAGTGCATATCGGTCCCGGCCAGGCGGTCCGCGAGCTGGGGCCTGTGGGTCCTATGTGGGGAACCTCGGGTAGCATCCGGGCTCCAGCTTGACGACTCAAGTTTCTTCCCCAAACACAGGAGATAATAACATTCCCCTCTAGGAGTGGCCGAGAAGGGTGACTACCACCGGAGGCTGGGCTCCCGGCCCCGAGTTGGCGCTTGCGAGGTGTGTTCTTTCCCTGGAAGGGTGGGGTGGAGACAGGAAGCCTCCAGGGGGCTCCCCACCCGCCGCACGCGCCGCCCCGGCGGGCTTATAAACAGCGCCCCGGCGCCTGCAGATCACTGTGGTTCTACTTCTTTCGGAAGAAGTCTCGCCCTGCGCGGACCGGGAACCGCGCCCTCGCCAACCTAGAACCCAGCGGGAGCCGCAGACCCCCCCGCGCAGTTGGCCGCCTATCCACTCGGTTGCCGTCGCGGTTGACTTTAAATCTGAACACAGCGGTCGGGGTCAGTGGGACCTGCCCTCTGGACCCGGAGCCGAGTGGGAAACCGAAACCGCTGGGCTCCGCTAACGGCGGCGGGAGAGCGCGCGCTCGCGAACCCCGCGCCCCGCCCGAGCGCCGCCCGCGCCCGCCCCCGGGCTCCGTAAGTTTCGATTCCTCCCCGAGCCGAGTCGCGCGCCGCGGCCAGTCCAGCGCAGAGCAGCGCCATGGCGGACCCGGAGGTGTGCAGCTTCATCACCAAAATCCTGTGCGCCCACGGGGGCCGCATGGCCCTGGACGCGCTGCTCGACGAGATCGCGCTCTCCGAAGCGCAGCTCCTCGAGGTGCTGGAGGCGGCGGGGCCCAGCCGCTTCGTGGTGCTGGAGACCGGCGGCAGGGCCGGGGTCACCCGGTTCGTGGTGGCCACCACCGCAGCTCGGGTCTGCCGTCGCAAGTTCTGCCAGACGGACTGCGGAAACCTGCACCTCTGCAAGCTCAACCTGCTGGGCCGGTGCCACTATACGCACTCGGATCGGTGAGTTCGCCGCTAGGGAATGGGCGGGTCCCGGGCTGGGAGGACGGTCGGGGCTGCTGTCCACCAGGGTTGCGCCCCCGGGGCACCTCGCACCCCACAACCTTTGCCTCCAGCCCCTCACTTCCCTGCGAAGAGCTCTTCCTCCAGCGCCTGCAGACTTTTCCTCGAATGTGGCTAAGGCGATATTGCCTGGGGAAGACTACCTTAAACTCCCTGCTCCCTTAGAATACGGTGCTTTGGGACCCGCCACGGCCTAGAGACTGTGAAGGCAGGTTTGGGAAAGAAGGAGAGCCTCCCCTCCCCGGAGCTTGAGTCTTTACCTCTCTGCTACCTCTGTCCCCAGGCGCGCTCCCAGCACCCCCACCGCGCCACGCACCTGGGCCGTCTCCATTCCTCTCTTTGTCCCTTGTCTGATACCTGATGCGCGTCCGCACCGTCGACTAGAGTGGTCCCATTCGCGGTTACCGATGATGTGTGGGCTCCCCGCGCTCCTTCCTGGGGGCCTCCTCGTGGCCGAGCCATGGACCGCCCGCTCTTGGGGCCACTTTGAACGAGCGTGGCTTACCTCCCAGCAGCTCTTTCTGTGTCCCCGCTTGCTCTTTATTGCCTCAAGGTGTGCCCCAAGGTTTGGGTTACGCTTTTTGGCCCGTCTCCCATCTCTCCCTAAGAGAGCCCATTCGTCTGGGTTCAGCCGTCACATCCACCAGGATGGCTCCCACGTGCCCCTCGGCCTCCTGGGCCGCCCAGGCCTTCCAGCCCAATCTAGGCTCTCGGTCTCCCTGGGTCTGAGCAGCGTCTGTACCCGGATAGGAGTCAATCTCATCTTCCTTTCCCCAGGGCAGGGTATCTGACACTCCCCCCACCCCCTTTTCATCCTTCCCAACACCTTCCTCACCAAGGCCCTTTATTGAAGTCTCCCGTCCCCTGCCTGCCTGGTCCTCCGGTCCATCTCCCTTCTGCATGAATGCCTTGTGGAATTCGTAAATGACTGTCTCTGACCATAGTCTTTCTCCCCAACTTTTCTGTCCCTAGGTAGTGCTGCCCAATTATTTTTCTTATATAGTACTTTTCACCCTGTGCCGTCCTTAAAAACTTTCAGTGACAGCCTAGTGTCCAAAATGGTGGTCAACAAACTGTTGAGAAAAACTTTTGATTACTCACCTCCAATTTTATATGTGTAATAAAATATATATAAAAGACATGTTTTAAATGGATGAGGTAGTTGATATAATATTTAAAAATATTTTTGTGTGTGTTTAGGGTAAAACTAAAAAAAATTTAAAAAGTGCTTGAATGTGCTTTGTTGTTTAAAAAATATGTATGAATATGTTGTGAGGCACCAATGTGCAAGTATTTTTGACTTTTAGGAAGCTGTGTGTACAGAGGGAGAGAACTAAGTCACAGCGAGGATGAAGTCAGGAAGGAAGAAAGGACGGAAAGAGGGAGATACAAAGGAAAGGAAAGGAACATTCTAGTAATATACTGAATAACAATGGAGTAGAAAGGCTTCGTTTTCTCTTTCTGTTGTGAAATTTTTTTCCGCCAACTTGTGTTGGCTTTAAGACCTAATTAAATTAAAAAAAAAATGTTTTATTGATTTTTTACAGAGAGGAAGGGAGAGGGATAGAGAGTTAGAAACATCGATCAGCTGCCTCCTGCACACCTCCTACTGGGGATGTGCCCGCAACCAAGGCATATGCCCTTGACCAGAATCGAACCTGGGACCCTTTAGTCCACAGACCGATGCTCTATCCACTGAGCCAAACTGGTCAGGGCCAAAGTTTTAAATATATATGCTTCTTTTGATTTTTTTACTATAGATATTTAAAAACTATATTAAAATAATGAAAAGAGAATGATGAACCCCATGTACACATCATTTTGCTTCAACAGTTTTAAAATTATAGACAATTTCATTTATTCCTTCCTCCCTATATCCATCCCCAACTCCAATGTGTTATTTTAAACCAAAAAGAGTTCATTTGCTTCATAAATACTATCTAAAGCAGTGATTTTCAACCTTCTTTATCTCGTGACACACAAATTACTGATATTCTTCGGCACACAAAGATTTTGTGCTGATCTGACCCCAAAAAAGGTATAATTTTAATTCATTCACATCAGACAGCTATTGTGGATATGTTTCATAAATATATTTAGAAATTTTGTTTCAATTTCTTATACACCAACTTTAGAAACATTAGTTTAGAAACTTTAGTTTTATGACTTTGAGAAACATTAGTTTTTTGAACTTTATTTTTTGCCTGGTTTAAGACATCAAAACCCATCTTAAGGTCACAAATTGGGTTGTCAACCTTTACTTTTCTATATTTTAAAATAATATGTATATATAACATAGGGATAATTTGGTCAGTGAAAGTTGGAATGGATCTTTTGGGGAATTCATTAAAGTTACTTTTTTTAATGAAGTGATCCATTCTGATTTCTTACATTTATTTGTCTTGTAATATTTTTTATTAACTTTTATTTCTTTTACATCACTTTTGAATTTGAGAATTACAAATTTTTAATCCATCAATGTACATTGCGTCTTCATAATAAGGACCCTTGGGAGAATTTTTTTTTCTTTTTGCCTTGGAGCCTAAAAATATGTTTTTCTCCCAAGTATGTTTTAAAAATGTTCTCCCCATCTTAGCAACTTATAAAACCTTATCTTCTAAAACTTGAAGTGTGCGAGTCTGAGGACTTGATTCTTTGATCACTGGTTAATTACCATTCAGTTTGGTAAACTGTTCTGTTTGAGGACAGTTTGCATTTTGCTGGATTTATAAAACTGCTTCTGTGGGGCTGTTATATGTAAATGGGATCTCTCCTATTCTGTAGTTCATCTTTTCTCTTACATTGCTTTTAGCCATACATTTTAGTCAGCAACATGGCTTGCTTTATTGTTGGGTAATTATTTGTTTTGGTGCATCAGCTTGGATATTGCTGTTTGCTTTGCTGAAATATTATGCCCACTGGTGGAGTTCTAATCCTAGTTCGGACACACAAACCATAACTAGAATTCATTGGGCAAATAACCATGAACCACGCACTCTAATGAGCACTTTAGAATAGGTATCCAAATTAGTCTTTACCATGATTTTTGAGGTAGGTATTTGTAAGCCCCACTTAATGTAAGGAAACTCAGGCCTAGAGCTGTTTAGAAATTTACTGAAGTTCACGTAGCAGATAACTGGCAGAGTTGGTGTTGAGCCTATATCTGCATAACTTCTTGACTAGCTGCTTGTGTGGTCAAATAGCTGTGTGAAGTGTGATCTTTCATTAATTCCAGTTATTTTTTGCAAGCATGATTTCTGTTTAAAACAGGTGTCTGTGTATTTTCGACCAGCTTTGTGGTTTCTGCTCATGTGGCTGTTTCCTCTGTGCTCTTTCCTGTTTGTATGCCTTTCTTTCCTCTGTGGTGAACTTTGGTTGAGCAGAGGTAGGTGGAGAGAGGGTTAGTTGACTGCTTCATAAACTGAAAACAAAACAAAACAAAAAATCCGCAACCACCCAAAAGAACAAAAAGTGCAAAGAATAGTATAACAAGCACCAGAGTACAGTGGGGCCTTGACTTACGAGAGTCCCGACTAACGAGTTTTTCGAGATACGAGCCATCTCTCGGCCGATTTTTTGCTTTGAGTTGCGAGCTAAAATTCGGTTACGAGCCAGCTTCAGATACCTCACCGCTAGTTGGCGCAGCGAACATACAGTGAACGCCACACTGATTAATGGCATTTCAATTCATTGTAATGGTGAAAATTGATTTGACATACGAGTAATTTGAGTTATGAGCTCCGTCACGGAACTAATTAAACTCGTAAGTCAAGGCCCCACTGTATATATATTCTGAGTATATTAATATAACAAAAGTTATATAAAAGAATAAGCTCACAACTCATCTTCCAGAATAAATAAATGTTTGCATCTTTCATTTTTGCTTATCTTTTTAAAAATATATTTTTATTGATTTCAGAGAGTAAGGAAGAGAGAGAGAGAAACATCAATGATGAGAGAGAATCATTGATCAGCTGCCTCCTACACAGCTGCCCCCCACTGGGGGATCGAGCCTGCAACCTGGGCATATGCCCTGATCTGCAATCGAACCCTGACCTCCTGGTTCATGGGTCAATGCTCAATCACTGAACCACACCAGCAGGATAGTTCATTAATTATAACAGCTGTGTAGTATTTCATCAAATGATTTATACCACAATTCAGTACCTGTTCTTCCAATAATGAGCACTGGGATATTTCCAATTTTTGGCTACAACAAACCATGCTGCCAAAAATATACACTTAAGATCAATTCTCTCAGCAAATTTTAGTATACATTATTATTAACTATGGTCACCATGGTGTACTGTGGGGAGCCGAAACTCAGTCCCTGGTCAGGCACCATATGTGGGGAGCTGGCACGGCCATGGCATACTCAGCCCCAGGGCGCCTTATGTGCCATGCCAGCTCAGCCTGGTTCAGTGACCCTGAGTGTGGGGGGTGAAAGGATTGAAAAAAGACAGACAAGAGAATGAAAGCTGGGTCTCGGTGGGACGCTGCTCCCTGATGAGGAGACAGCGCCAGCGCCCACAAGCAGTGTCTTTATTTTATAGCAGATGCCACGAGGCAAAGTAGGGGCGTGATCAAGTTGTTCACAGCATTCTCGTGAGTTCCAACCTCACTCAACTACATGCACCCGAACTCTATCACAAGGCACGTGGGGCCACGTGTTTGGACCATAGGTTCAAGCTTACAACCACAGCCGTTGGCTATAATTGTGCTGGGAGGGCCCTGCCCTCCAGCTGGGACTTGCACGTGGCAATGAGAGGACCCTGTCCTTTCATTAGTCTGAGGCTTGGACCTGGCCAAAACACTGTACCCGCGCCCCATAGTGTACCTTAGATCTTTAGAACTTACTTATAACTGAAAGTTTGTACCCTTTGACCAACATCCTCCCCACACCCCTGACAATTCTACTCTCTTCTTAAATGATTTTGGCTTTTTTTTTTAGATTTCATATTTAAGTGAGATGATGCAGTATTTGTCTTTCTGTAACTGGCTTATTTCACTTAGCATAATGTCTTTTAGGTTCATACGTGTTGTCACAAATGGCAGGATTTACTTCTTTTATGGCTGTATAATGTTCCATTATATACATATTACCACATTTTCTTTATCCTTTCATCTGCCCATGGACACTTAGGTTGTTTTCATGTCTTGGCTACTGTGAATAATGTTGCAATGAGCATGGGAATGCAGATATCTCTTTGTGATAGTGATTTCATTTCCTTTAGATATATACCTAGAAGTGGGAGGGAAAGATGGAGGGGAAAAGAGAGAGAGAGAGAGAGAGGGAGACTTTCATGTGAGAGAGACTCATTGATTGGTTTCTTCCTGCATGAGCCCTAACTGGGGCCAGGAATAGAACCTGTAACCCAGGTACGTGCCCTTGACCGTGAATCAAACCCACCAAGACCCTCTGGTGTATGGGCTGGCGCCCTAACCACAGAGACACATTGGCCAGGGCTGGTATTTCTTATTTTAATTATTTGAGGAACCTCCATGCTGTTTTCCACAATGGCTGTACCAGTTTACAGTCCCTTCACCACTGTGGTGCATTTGGTGTATATTTTCTCATTTATTTTTTTTCTACATATGTGTGTATTTTAAGCAGTATTTAGGATTGTTTTGCCTGTTTTCAAGCCTATAAGCGTCATCAATACCAGATGTATAAATTTTTGCTTTGTTTTCTCTTGTTTGTGCAGCATGATGTTTCTGAGACTCACCCCTAATATACAGAGCCCTATTT